TCTCCTATTCTTCACAATAAACTATTTAAGATTAAAATATGATGGTTTTCCATTCTATAAAAATCTATCTTCCAAATATATTTTCTTCATTTATTTTTACCTAATTGGAGCATGGATGGATATATATATATATATATCCATCAGTAATAAAATGGAGTTGGATCCAGATTGAATAAAACATTTTAATCACGAGCCACTTCTAATTATAAGTGAAGAGCAGTGCCATTCTTGAGTCACGGAGACTTTTCAATTTTGTGGAGACAAAAATAGCCAGCCTAATCACACTCACAAAGGCAGGAATCCTTCAATAACTGACTCCCATTCCCCACAATCCCGAGTCTGCCCTGTACTGTGATAGGAGAAAACCTCGACTTCTCGGCCGGCATAGCATGAAGTCAACCTTTTTTCAATTTGAAGTTTCTTCTCCTGTCATTTCCCAGATAGGCAGACGTGTGTGTGGACTTATCGATACTGACAGCAAATGGTTCTGATGCATGTGTCTTACAAAAGTGATTCTCCGTTATTCATTCTGCCCAAAGCTCCCCAAGATGTTTAAAAGTCAAAATAAAAATCAAACCCAATACAGCTGCATTCATTTTTTAATTTATTTTAAAAGTAACTCCCATTGGTTATTTATTATTATTTTTTGATACATTTTTATTGATTTTCAGAGAGGGAGGGAGAGGGAGAGAGATGGAAAATTAATGATGAGAGAGAATCCTGGATCAGCTGCCTCCTGCACGCCCCCTACTGGGGATCAAGCCCACAACCCAGGCATGTGCCCTTGACCTGAATCACACCCAGGACCTTTCAGTCTGTAGGCCGACAATCTATCCGCTGAGCCAAACTGGCTAGGGCCAGATGCATTCATTTTTACCTCACAATATTTACCGAGGCCTGTGATCATAATTATGACATTTGCTTGTTGGTCTGCTGAGGTTTAAAATCTGAGAGGGATGGGCAGGTATATGAACTTATAAGAATGTTTAAATACTGCGTGAAATAAATAAGTGTTCTTCTGACATCTGAATATGGATTTGAATGTAACCATATCACTAAATTCCAGGGGAATATGTTTCCTATCTAAAAGGTTCTTCCTTAGAAAACCTCTGGTTAAAAGCCACAGTCGCCCAACAGTAGATGCAGGTCAACCTGGGTGAACCAACGTTAGTGAAGTATTCCTGTTTGCATCTTAGCACGCTCAGCTCCAGGAAGGTTAAGACTTCTATAATTGGCTTATACTACAAAGAAGATTATGTAAGATCCTTTTGGATGCTATTTTAGACTCTCAGATTTTACAGCAGGCGTTAGTCATATCGTTAACTCCTGCAATGAGTGATTTTATCCTTCATCTTACATTTAATTTTCTTACAAGACAAAAATAAATCACGAAAATTAAATTTTGGCCTGAATATTTGGGACAGATCTGGGGGTGCTGAGGTACCCACCCGCGGTGCCTGCCAACACTCCAGTGACTTCTAGTAATGGCAAAAGCTGAACTTTTCTTACCACCTCCTTCTCCAAGGTAATAATTTAAACTTTGATAGAAAAAAATAATTGATTTACTAGGATGAAGGCTCTTAAAGCACCTCTCAGAAGGAAAGCCATTCCAGAGCAGAGATGTGGCAGATATAAATAGTCTGAGGGTCCAAAGGAAGCCAAACGCTGGGACTGAGATGAGGACAGTCCAACTAATTGTACAATTTTCTGTCTAAGGCCTAGATGAAAATCAGTTGTAAGTCATACACATGAGTTTGAAAAAAAAAAAGTGTAATTTTATTTTGGTCAAATGATTCTTTCTAAGGCTATGCTAGATTGCAGAGAGAAAGAATAAAGGGTATTTTTACCTTAAGAAACTCTGAACTGTAAACATAAATAGCACTGGCCCGTGTGGCACAAGGGAGGCAACCAATCATTGTTTCTCTCTCCTCTCTCTCTCTCTCTCTCTCTCTCTCTCTCTCTCTCTCTCTCTCTCTCTTTCTCTTTCCCCTCCTTCCTCTCTCTATAAAAAAAATTAAATAAAACAGTACCAGGTAAGATGCTACATCACTTCTAAATGTTTTATAAAAACTGAAGCAATAAAAAAGAAATAGAGCATGGTCCAAACTTTTTTCAATGTAAAATTACCTGTATTTTACTAAACTGTTTATCTTAAGAGTTCATAATAACCTGCACTTAAAGGGCATTCTGCAAAAGGTAGTTTTATTTTTTTAATGGACACCAGAATTGAGGCAATTTCTGGATTTTTAAGAAATTACATATTTTACAAATAAAGAGAAAGTTCTTTTGTAGATACCTTTTCTCAGTATTCACATCAAGAATTGTGAACATTTCAAACTCATTTCAGCATACATAAATATTTATGTAATAAGTTTGTTTTATGGGAAAATTTTGTTCTAGCTGTTAATTATCTTAAATGCTATATTGTATGCATATATGTGTAAATTCTATATGTAGAAGTGTGCAGTATATATGTGATATATGTCTGTGTATTTGTATATATACATGTATATTTATTAGTACCCATTTCCGTGCACATTTTTGTATGCTCCACCCCCTCTCCCCACGCTGATTACATTATTTCCCTTTAAGAAGGGGATGTCCACACTCATTAGAGACTGTCCTGTGCCTGTCCATGACAGGGTGTCTTCTGTCTCCCCCTCACCCTGCCGCCTGAAGCCCTGACACCCTGGCCGAGAGCCTCCAATGGGTCTCCCTCACTGAGTGCCTCTCTGTGGTCCTAGGCTTTCCAGCGACAGGTGCACGAGAGCCTGACCCAACTGGAGCTGATCAACAAGCAGTACCGCCGCCTGGCCAGAGAGAACCGCACCGACTCCGCCTGCAGCCTAAAGCAGATGGTCCACGAAGGCAACCAGCGATGGGACAACCTGCAGAAGCGCGTCAGCTCCATCTTGCGCAGACTCAAGGTCTTTATTCTGCCTCCTCGGTAGCTCAGGGGCCCGGTCGGGCCATTCGAACACAATATTAAGACACAAGCACTGTGATTCTGTAAGATAGGGATGGCAAGAGGGGGATCTAGGGTTAATTTATATGTTAAAGGGTGCAGGTTCTCATTGCTCATTAAGAAAATGACTTTCCAGAAGACCATTGGAATTGGCGGTACCGTCTCAATATGCGTGCTTTGTAATTTTTATGATCTTCTTTTCACCTCCAGCATTTCATTGGCCAGCGTGAGGAGTTTGAGACAGCACGGGACAGCATTCTGGTGTGGCTGACGGAGATGGATTTACAGCTCACTAATATTGAGCATTTTTCCGAGTGTGATGTTCACGCTAAAATAAAGCAGCTCAAGGTAATAGATTAGTGATTCTTCAGCTTATCAGTGTGAAGAAAGTCAAAGGGGAAGATCGTTTTAAAATATATTTTTATTGATTTCAGAGAGGAAGGGAGAGGGGGAGAGAGAGAGAAATATCAATGATGAGAGAGAATCACTGATCAGCTGCCTCCTGCATACCCCACATTGGGGATTGAGCCTGCAACCCGGGCATGTGATAGCTGGTTCATAGGTCAATGCTCAACCATTGAGCCACGTGGGTTAGGCTGAAGGGGAAGAGATGTGCAGATTCTTTGGTGAAAAAAATAGTAACTTTTTTCAGTTTTCTTTTTTTTTAATTATTGGGGGTGACATTAGTTAATAAGATTATAGAGGTTTTAAGTGAACATTTCTAGGATACGTGATCTTCATGTTGCCCAACATCCAAAGTCACATCATTTTTTATTAACATATATTTGACCCTCTTTACCCTTCACTACTCCCACCCCTCTTCCCTGTGGTAACCACCATACTGTTGTCTGTGTGAGTTTTTGTGTGTTTGTTTCTCTTGTTTGTTCATTTGTTGCTTCACTTTTAATATATCTTTGTGAATAAATGTTTCTGGTAGATACCCAGAAGTGGGGTTGCTGGGTCATATGGTAACTCTATTCATAATTTTTTGAGGAACCTCCATACTGTTTTCTATAGTGGTTGTACCAGCTTACATCCCCACCGGCAGTGAATGAGGGTTCCTTTTTCTCCACAGCCTGTCCAAAGCTTACTATTACTTGTCTTGTTGAAAATAGCCATTGTAACATGTGTGAGGTGGTATCTCATTGTATTTTTGATATGCATTTTCCTAATGGCTAGTGAAGTTGAGCATCTTTTCACACATCTATTAGTCATTTATATGTCCTCTTGGGAGAAGTGTCTGTTCAAATCCTCTGTGCATTTTTTAATTGGATTGTGTGTTTGCTTGGTATTGGGTTGTATGAGTTCTTTATATATTCTGAATAGTAACGTCTTGTCAGAGCTGTTGTTTGTAAATATCGTCTCCTATTCAGTTGATTGCTTTTTTTGTTTTGTTCTTGGTTTGTTTTGCTGTCCAAAAGCTTTTCAGTTTGATATAGTCCCATTCATTTATTTTTGCCTTTACTCCACTTGCCTTTGGGGTCAAATTCATAAGATCTTCTCTAAGACCAAGAAATTAGTTGTTCTTGATTGAAAAAAAATTTTTTTAAATGAAAAGGATATTAAAAATGAAATATAGAGCACTACCCAGAGATACCTACCGTTAACATATTACTTTTATTTATTAACTTGATAGCCACAGTGTTGGGAATCTTTTTTCCTGATTAGTTTTGTGTGTGTGTGTTTTTGTGTTTTCCTGGTTTGTTTCTGGCACCTTCAAATAGTTTATTTGACCTCTATGTTTCAGAGAATTACAACTTGCTCATATTAGAATTTCATTCCACATATTCTACACTCTTAGATGCCAAGTTAATTTTAAACATATTTTGTATACTTCACTATAAAATTCAACTACAGTGGCTAGTTAAAATTTTAAACAGAAGGGACATCCACTAGATTAGATAAAAAGATTCTCTAAGTGAAAATGTATTTAACAATTTGAATAATTTGCAAAACATCTTATGAAATTTTCTTCCCAAGATAGTTAAATAGATTTAACAACTACATAAAATCATGATGGCTATAACCTTAGGTTATTATAATAAAACAGAAAGTTGCTCTTAATCATATATTAGGATGAAAAAAATCATAAAATAGTTAAGCCTGGTATTTTGCCCAACCCCTCTTTCCATCCCTCCCACCCTGACTTTCCCAAGTTGTCTCACAGTCAAATCAATATTTAAAACCTTTGGCAGGGCATTTACTCCAAGTGGTAATTGAGCTTTTCTTTTTGGAGCCTGGCAGGGAC